CCCAATAGCAGTTTTTTCTGATGGAGAAAAAACAATAAATAGGGGTAACGTATTTGGTCCCTAAGCCAAGAAAAACAGATAGATATACACCATCAGTATTGTATTGCTAAAGGTTTAGAAGCACCAAATATTCAGATTTCAACTCAACCATTTTCAATGGCTGGAGGTATGTGTTCGATTCAGAATTTATTTCCGCATACATGATCTGATGTATTAAAATGTTTACATAGAAGATCATGATTTAAGATGAGTTTAAAGAATTTATTAAACTTACATGTTCGCCATCGATATCCACACGGTGGCGAAGATCGGGATGGGGATACTCCTCGCCCATGCCACTGGAGTTGTGAAAGAGACGACGGTGGTGGAAACAAGGTCTCCATCCTCCACTACGTGACTCTCGGCGGAGCCGACAAGGTGGGCGGTGATCGGTACCCAAATATCGGCGATGGAGTCCTGATCGGAGCCGCAACAACCATCCTCGGGAACGTGAAGTTCGGGGCAGGTGCAAAGATCGACGCAGGGTCAGTGGTGCTGATCGACGTGCTGCCGAGGACAACAGGCGGATGGGAATCCGACTAGGCTCATCGAAGGGGAGGAGAAGCCGACAGTGTATAACGAGGAATGTTCGGGTGAGAACATCGATCAACCTCCTCCATTTTTATTTTTTGTGAACATATAGATTGTTATATTTATATTTTGTTTATAAAATTTATCATCACAATGATGCTATAGTATTTATAATAAAAACAATGATATATTATTAAATCCGTTTAATAATTAATGGTGTTAGAGAAGATGACGTTTATGTAAAGATTTGGAATTTTTTTGTATTTTTGTACAAGTTTCAAAATTCGTATATTTATACGGAAGTTTTTTTTTAAAGTGGATGATTTTTGAATTATTTTTTCTATATAAATATAAAATATTATGATAAAAATGGAAAAATCGAAAAAAAAAACATAAAAAAATACTACCTCACTTTCTATACAATTATACCACTCACCAGTTGCACAATATTTTTTGGTGTCTGAGACATGATTTTTGGATCAGGCAACAAACTTTGGTGGTACAAGCATCGGTCCGACTATTTGGGAAGACAAAAAATGCAAAGGGGAATCATGATTTCCGACCAGGTGAAAACTTAAAACTGCAGTATGCAAGAGAATTGCTTGTGTCCGCAGTTACCGAGTCAGGAAGGTTTGCAAAGCATGAGGATGCATTCCGGCCCGTTCTTCAACACTATGACAGTCCAAAATTCTATCTTGAACTCCCTATTTCTATTTCTCAGGTGTGTGTAATTCACACTTTTCTTTTTGTTAAGAATGTAATTCACACTTTTTCACTTAATGCTTTAACATTTGTAATTCGAGATTGATACTGTAAATGATATAATAATGATGATGATAATGCAGACACTAGATCATCTAGACCTCTGCGAACAGGCTGGCTCTCCATATATATCTATATATGTGTGTATATTTTTTATTTTTTATTTTTATGAGTGTATTAATACGTATTATATTTATATTTTTGTTTTTTAATTCAAACTAAACAATAAATTATATGAAAAATATGTAAATATCTTTTTTTTAAAACTAGATTATATATATGTATATATAGATTTCTTTATTAATTTTTTTTATTTTTGCATTTGTTTATTTATTATTTATTTTTATTTTAAAATTTATTTTTAATCATATTTAAAATAATTTTTATTTGTATTCAATTCATATTAAACCATGTGTAATAATGAAATGTATATTAAATAGATATGTAGAAAGAGATTAATTTATAATTTTGTTATCAGAAACTATTATAAAATTAAATAAGAAATTTTTAAGAAATTAGTAATAGAAAATGAAATAATAAGAAATTTTAAAAAAATACACTTATTTGTAATAAATATTAATGCTATTTTAGATGATATTTATTCATTTGTAACATAATAATAGATAAATAAAAATATAATGGCGAAGAACAATTAAAATGTACAAAAAACAACAATGATCAAATTTATGATAAAAAAATTATAATGTAGTTAAAACAATTAAAATATTAAAACATTATTATTTATCTACTAATTATATTTATGATATCGTCGTACAATAATCAAATTTACAAATGATATCGTCAATTTTGAAAATTATTCTCGATTTACAAATAAGTTTTAAGTGTCAATCAATATAATTTAAAAAACCAATATCTTTCTAACAAAATATATATATATATATATATACTTTCAATTTATATCATCAAATTTTCTAAACAAATAATCAATATATACAAAAATAAACAACCCGCGCATCGTGCATGTCTTGCCTAGTATTTGAAATATTGGACCATGGTTGAGAATTTAAGATAATCAACCAAATGTTGTTGAGTGTGCTCGGGACATTGGCGCTAATTTGACAACCTCAATTAATTGCACCAATATAAAAAACCTAAAAGGATGTGTGGCAGAGACACTGCTCAAATCCAGCGTTCATATTTCCACGGTTCGCGTCCCGAATTCGCACAAAAATCCAACAAAAACAACATACGACGGTCACAGATTCACAGAACATGAAAATGTTTCCCGTAATCCCGCTCTTGAATAAGATGAGTTATTTTGTGTTTTGGTACAATTCAATAATGTGAAAGAGGAAGACATTCTTTCTTCTATCAAAGAGGAGTGTCAGGAGAAGGATGCCAAAATAAAGGCGCTTGAATCGTCTCTTCAATCAAGCAACGAGGATAGGTCTATAGTAAAATACTCTAATGCCTTTTCTATCTAATTTCTGTTTAACTCAAACCCTCCTTTTCTTCTCATTTCACAGCTGGAAGACACAATTCGCATGAAGAAGAGACTGATAACACGACTTAGGAAGAACATACATTCGTTAAAGCTACCGGTTATAATTTTTACAAGTCTCTAAGAATCGAATTTTTACAAGTCTCTAAGAATCTGTTCTTACTGTGTGTATGCAAAGGTCATGAAGTTAACTAGGGTCCAGCGATCTCCCTCACCTTCAGCCTACAATTCCATCACAGACAAATCTTGTGAAAAGCCTTTCTGATTGTAACGATTATTATTGTGAGTAATAATATTTCATTATTTATGAATAGTACAATATTGCAAGTGTATTTATAGGATTCTCTAATTTTCGGACGAGTTTTAAAGAAGATGTACATTTACTATTATATATATAAAAATTATCTCTTACCTATTTCACCAAAAAAAAGTATCTCTTACCTAAATTCTCTTTTCTATTCGTTCTTTATTCTTCCATTTCCTTTTTGAATTGCTTAATGGTTCATGTAACATGAATCTCGTATCAAACTCTAATATATATATATATATAAGGAGCACACGCTAATCTCGTTAATTTACTGTTTATATATAGTAAATAATAAGAGGTTCAAAAACTCATTTGTGTACAAACTCATAATCATTATATCTCAAAAGATTTATCCGATTTAGCGTGTGCTTCTTTGATTGCAGGGTTTAGACTATAATCGGTGATTACAAATGCGTGGACAATTAAAGAAATTAAAACCTGAAACCAAATGAGAAACTCAATGATCTGTAGTCAAAATCTCTCCTCCTTCATACACAATTTTTTGTTGAATGAATCCACCCTACAATGTCTGGTTCGGACCGGTTTGGTTTTAATCATTGCGTTAAACTTGTGCTGTCTTCCTAATTCTCGGGGACGTTCTCAAGCGCGTGAGCTAAAGCGCGTGTGCCTACGCCTGATCTCGCGTCACTGCGGCTCACCATTGCTTCTAGGGTTTCTCTGCAGTTCTCGATCAACCAAGAACCCTAATCCCTCTCCGTTTCATCCACTCACCTTCGGCTTCCTAAGCCTTGAATCACGTTGCAGCTTCCAAAGGACCCTAGATTCGTGTCCCCGCATAACTTGTCGGAATGGCTTCTGGTCCATTACCGGGTGTCGGAGCTTCAAAGGCGAAGCATAAATGGAGCGCCAGCGGAAACAAGAACCAGAACCGGTCGAAGCCCACGACGGCGGCGAGACAGCAACGGCCGGTTGCACCTGTTTCTCCGACGAATTCGATTGCGTTGGAGGATGATCATCACATGTTGAAGATAAGTTTGAATTCGATTTCTGGCCTCGAGGTTAGGAACTTGAAGAGAAGATTGAAGGCTGAGCTAGATGAAGTTCGGAGCTTGATCAAGCGGTTCGAGCCTTGTGGTAATGTCGCTGGAGGTTTCGGGGACTTGCCCAGAGCTGATGCAATGGAAAGCGAGAAGAAGATGAAGACAGGTAGCGAAGGTAAGAAGGGTGGGTTTGGTACGGACAGAGGTACGGTTCAGATTTTCAAGAACTGCAACAATTTGCTTACGAAATTGATGAAGCATAAGTTTGGGTGGGTTTTCAACGCACCAGTAGATGTGGAAGGGCTTGGATTGCATGATTATCACACCATTGTTAAAAAGCCTATGGATTTGGGTACTGTGAAGAATAGGTTGAGCAAAAACTGGTACAAGTCGCCATTGGAGTTGGCTGAGGATGTCAGACTTACTTTTAACAATGCGGTGTTGTATAACCCGAAAGGGCATGAGGTGCATCACATGGCCGAGCATTTGTCGAAAATGTTTGAAGAGAAGTGGGCGTCCATTGAATTGCAGTATGATAGTCTAAATAATAGGAGGCATAAACCTGCTACTGATGTCGAGTTCTCTGCCCCTATTATGGATCCATTACCTCATCAGACTCCTTCCCCGTCTCCTCCTCGGGTTGTCGAGAATAGGACTTTGGAGAGATCGCCAGTGGAACCCGAAACAGTGACTATGGTCTCCGAGAAGCGAGGAGAAGACGAAGCTCCTGGTAAGAAGAGGGACCTGACATTTGAAGAGAAAAGGAGACTGAGTGAAGGCCTTCAGGACTTACCTTTCGACAAACTGGAGACTGTTGTTCAGATTATAAAGAAGAGGAATCCTCAACTCTCTCAGCAAGATGATGAGATTGAGCTCGATATCGACAGTGTTGATCTCGAAACACTTTGGGAGCTTCATAGATTCGTGACTGAGTATAAGGAGAGCTTGGGCAAGAAAATGGAGGATCGTGGATTTGGTTCAGAAAGAGACGCCGAATCTTTTCACAATATTAACCTAGAACAGGTGAGAGCGGCATAAATGTTGGCTGTTCACATCTTTTCAGTGGTTAATATCATCTTTCTCCTTTCTTATTTCACAGGGCACCCTAGAAACAGTCACCGGGATGACATCAAGAGTTACTGAATCAGGTGAGAATTAGTTTGAAAAGTCATATCGTATCAGTTTCCATTTAGATTATTACTTGTCTAAGCTTATGATGCTGCAAAAGAAACCATTTTCAAATGTTTCAACATTTAAAGCAGGCAGAGAAGCAGCACCAACTACTAGATCTGAAAACAATATCAGTGGATCGAGTAGTTCGAACAGTTCTAGGAGCGACTCAGGCTCTTGTTCCAGTGGTATGTATCCGAATTTAGTTCAGACAGTACAGATGAACAGTTAACATACATACCCATGTATTCCTTTTGCTTCTGCAGATTCCGACAGTGACAGCTCCTCCGGACATGGAACTGATATAGGTAATTAGCCGAGATGTTGATTTTTCATTGTGAAACTCTCTATCAATACAGTAGGCACAGTTAGATTTGCTTGCTTGCTCCATCGAGATTGTTGGTGTTAGGTCTTTTAGCTGTACAGAAATATAAAAAAATAAACAATTTAGGTAACTGTCATCGGATGAACATCCTTGTTCTTGCGCTTGTTAACCCGAGATTTCGAGTTCCCGACCGACCTGCAGGTCGGGCACTGATCTATCAACGAGCCCAATACTAGTCAGTGGACGGCGAGAATCTGACCTCGAAGTTCGGGTACGAGTTTCTGTCTGTGATTATTTTTATCGGCAGATAATCCGAGCCGAAAGCAGGGGGTGAGACGAGATCAGTGGGCTGAGAACCCGAGATCAGATAAATCCAAGGAAAAGGCGAGGTTGGGATCGGATGCCCTGAAAAACTCGGGTCCCAGACCCTCTACATAAAAAAAAGTTCCTATCTTTGGATCGTTCTTGAGAAATTTTCCAAGTGGGAATGTTCCTATCTAAGGAAACACCAACAAGAATCAAGAGAAACGGTCCAGGGTTAAGGAAAAAAAAACCCGGCAAGCAAACAAGAATCAAGAGAAGAAACGAGAGTTTTATTACAAACAATAACAAAGCTGTCAGAAAAACAATCGGTTTTGACGCATTACCTAATTTCAAAGACCACCAACTGGTGGTTACATGAAACAAGTCACTTTACTAATGCTTGCTTGCATCTAAAGCGATTGGATCATCCACCTGTAAAGAACAAAACCCAGAAAACGCAAAACAACTGATCGAGAAGTTCATTCATCGGAGACCCGATTTGAAAATGTCGGTGCAGATTTCTTTTGATCATCGGGTTCAGTCCCTCTTCCCGGTCGTGCTTGTAAGTATTCTGATCCTAGGATCTGCAAGATGGATCCTAGATGGCCTAAAGAGCGAAAACAGCGAAATTTTCAAGACATATCGCCATAAGAACAGAGAAGCAGTGTTTGTATCTGATGAGGACAGTCTTGAACAGAGCTGCAATGTCTTTGAAGGACAATGGGTTTGGGATAATGTGTCTTACCCTCTTTACACAGAGAAGAGCTGTCCTTACTTGGTCAAGCAAACAACTTGCCAACGGAACGGGAGGCCTGATTCTTATTACCAGAACTGGAGATGGAAACCGAGCTCTTGTGACTTGCCCAGGTAACACGAAAACATGGCAGAAACCTACGTCCCCGGGACAAAAAATGCTCAAGTAGGGTTTTGTCTATTATCGATTCAGGTTTGATGCTCTGAAACTGTTGGATGTGTTGAGAGGGAAAAGACTGATGTTCATAGGAGACTCCGTGCAGCGAGGAACTTTCGAATCAATGGTTTGTATGGTGCAGTCAGTTATTCCCGAGGGGAAGAAATCCTTCCACAGGATTCCACCGATGAAGATCTTCAAAGCCGAGGTACATAATTCATCTTCCTAACCTAAGATTTCAGACAAGAAATGTTAAATTCGGGGTTATGTGTTTGGTTAGGAATATGATGCAACGATCGAGTATTACTGGGCACCTTTCATTGTGGAATCGATTTCAGACCATGCAACAAAACATACAGTGCACAAAAGACTAGTTAACCTCGATGCCATTGACAAACATGGAAAGAGCTGGGAAGAAGCCGATATTCTAGTATTCGAGAGCTATGTATGGTGGATGTATAAGCCTCAGATCAATGCAACGTAAGCTGATGGAATAAAAACCCATACCACTTCTCGTTTTCATCCAGAAGAAAAAGTAAACTGATATCTTTCTTGTCGGGAAATGCTTGCAGATACAGACCTAAAACAGATGAAGTTCGAGAATACAATGTGACCAATGCTTACCGAATAGCGTTGGAGACATGGGCCAAATGGTTAGAAACAACGATTGATCCCATGAAGCAAAGAGTTTTCTTCATGAGCATGTCTCCGACCCACCTGTGGTAAGTTCATCACCTGCAACACAAGTAACACCAACGTTTGAGAAAGTATTTGATATTACACTGATTATATGATTTCATTACCAGACTTATCCATACAAAAAAGATAATAAATCGTTGTTTCATTTCGGCAGGAGCTGGGAATGGAAGCCGGGGAGTGATGGGAACTGTTTCAATGAGTTATATCCTATAAACAACCCATCATACTGGGGCACAGGATCAAACCTTGAAATCATGGAGATACTTGGAGATGTTATGCAGAAAGTTAGAGTGAATGTAACATTGTTGAACATCACCCAATTGTCAGAATACAGGAAAGACGGTCACACAACAGTTTATGGAGAGCGGAAAGGGAAGCTATTGACGAAGGAGCAGAGGGCTGACCCGAAAAACTTTGCAGATTGCATCCACTGGTGTTTGCCTGGTGTTCCTGATACATGGAATGAGATCTTGTATGCTTATTTGCTTCACAGTCATCGGAATTTATTCTGATTTTTTGTTGAAGAAAATGAATCAAATGAAGCAAGCCTCGGAGTCAGGAAGCACATCTCTATAAGGAATTTTCCAAGCCCAAGAACATGGAAGTTTAACATGTATAGTCTTAGGCATGTTTCTGAGAAATTTGATCAAGCAAAAACAAAAAAGGGCATAGAGATTTTCTAAAAAAGAAGTTCTTCGATTTTCCATAAACAAAAACCATGTTTTTGAGAGGGTAGATACGGTCCTTTATGTTATACAATCAAAAGCTATCTCACCAATAGTAACACACAAACCGGTATTTGCCCCTTACGGAGTGATGTGTAGCCAATCTACAACAGCTCCCACTCTGAATCGTCTTCTGGTTCAAGTGGCCTTTTGGTGTCGATGGCTGAAGTGGTTTTAGAAGAGAGAGTTTCTTCTGCAGTGTCTAGATCAGATGTCATGGTTGCATCTCCAAACCAAATCGCGAGCTGTTCATACTCTTTCTCTCTCAGTCTTTTGGAAGCTAAAGCATCGGTGATTTTCTTCTGTTGAACATAAAAAAGACAGGATTAGAACTTTGGTGATAATGTGTACGTTAGCTGTGAAGAAATATGTTAATTCTTGAAAGAACCAATAGCTGCCGAGCCCAAGACTGCGCTTCGATCCAAGAAAGCTGAAGGAAGATTTGAAGTCTAATATTTCTCAGAAAGATCTGTTACCTCACTTACTTTCACTAACAAGAATCATACGATGGCGTTGTTTTCTAACTGAAAGGGGCGGGCCGGCAGAAGAAAGTTGAATCTCGTGATTTTGGGTCATGGAACGATTTTTTTGCCAAGGGATTAACACAATATACTACAGTACATAGCCCAGAAACTAGCCACTAGGGGGGGAGAAGATTTTTGGGCAGACACAAATAACATCCCAGAGAGAGAGAGAGAGAGATGGAACCTTGAATGATCTGAGTTTTCTGGTCCTATGACACACTGCATAAAGCATACTGTCATGGATGTCTGAACGGTCTTCTTGATTTGCCATGGCATACAATTCTATTGTTTCCAATGGGGCATCATCATGTTGATCATCACATGTATCATCCTGATTACCTACACGTACAATTTTGCACATGTTGAAACTAACACAAAAATGTACATAGGTTGATCACCCTCAAAGCTACCTAACAGCAACCTTGGTTTTCAAAATAATCAACCAAAACAGACATGACAGGTCCCTCATGAACTGAAAACACCAATTTTTCTAACAAGCAAGATAAATACCATGGCCCCACGAGCAGAGTAGAATGTAAGAAAAGAGAGTGAGCTAGATACCGACCAATCGAACCGCTGCCAGCGGGTCTCATCTTCGCCACATCATCTTCAACAAGTACAGCCGGAATCTCAGCGCCAACTTGGACAAAATTTGAATCAACTGAAGAGTGCCCAGATGAACACACAATACCGCAATCATTACATGGTGCTTCTGCCCTAAAGCCGTCCAAAGCGCTGCATGTAAATTGAGCTTCTGTAGAACTATTATCATCAGAGACTCTTTTATTAACGTCTTGTAAACACATTGGCCCTGCAGGGCAAAGAGAAGTTGTGACTGTCTCTCTGTTAGTGTTATTACCGCTGTACTCCTCATGAAATGAAACTCTCGATCTTGTTTCTTCATCAGTCAACACAGAGCCTGATAACTTCTCATTCGAACCGTTCCCATCAACTCGTTCTTCCGAATGGGCACTTCCCGAAGCCTCAAACTTTTCATCAGAAGGATGTTTGCAACTTGGTGACGCAAGATCATCATGGCAACGCTGCGTATGAACAGCACTAGAAGAAAATTTTCTCCATAACTCCCTTGGGTTCATCCCTAACAAAAATCAACCCGTGAGCGTTATTTGGTTCATTCGGAGAAACCGTGCCCTGACTGTCTGCTCTGATACAGTTCTGCACAAGAACAGCATCCAGTTGATGTAATAAAAAGGGATTACGAAGGAACAGAGAGAGAAACTAAAATCAGAAGCGAACCCAGAAACCAGAAGAGAAGTACCTGATCCCGCAAGTACTGTTTCCAATTTGCGGCACATATTACCAAGCCATGCTATTCACACAAAGGCAATCATACTTTTCTTGGTTTATCTTTGAATCTTTGATTGAATGGGATAATCTTCAATTATGATTCAGCTCTCAAGCATTTCAAAACAATAAAAAGGAAACAAAATGTTCTGTATCATCGAATAGGACTGAAACACTGTATCCTCATCAGCGTGGAGAAACTTGGAAGATGTACTGTTTAGGTCAAGAAAAGGGGAATGAATTCAAAAATCCAGAAGGTTCTTATTCAAATGCACAAAAACGACAGGAAACTCGTACGCACATCGAAAAAAATACAGATTTGCATGAACAGGAGGAGAGTTTTTGGAGAAAACGGGGAGGAGAGGGAAAAAAACCCTAAAACCCAAATTAGCCAGAAGGGGTACCAGAGAAGGACACTGGCTAATGAGTAGCGACGTAACGTATGACGAGCCAGGGGAGGGAATATTACATGTAAATGTGGATTTCAGTTATAAATCATAATCTTTAATTTAAAAAACAAATGAAAAAGTATTAAAAGAAATCATTAACTTTTTAAAAAATACACATGAACTGGGAAGTTACAAAAATAAATAAATTTGAAAAACAAATCAGTTTACGTTCGACAGAATTTTATTTCTCTTCATAGTATCGTTTCTTCTTCATTTTTCTTTAATTTTGGTGATTTTTCTATGCGATCTCGTCTTTGCAAGTGAAGTGAACGAAGAATGGCTTCGTCTTTATCATCTTCGACCCACTCTTCGGCTCGTATTTGTGAAGACCTCCAGATATGGTTTTTGAACTCACCGAAAATCAAAATTGTTAAGGTTTCGGGTACAGATTAGGATTCAGTTTAGGATTCTCTATTAAAGTTTCGTTAAAAAATATGATTTAAAATAAACATTAAAAAGTTAGGTTTCAGTGACAATATTATCACCGAAATATCAGAAACAGGATTATTGGATAGGTGAAAAACAGTATTTTTCACAAAGAAGTATAGGAATCAAGTCACGGTGATATTGACAACAGTCGGATGCACTCTTCAAACTGTAGAAAACATAGATTAGTGGTCATGCTAGATATGAGTCAAACCGATCGCACCCATAAAGTACTTATACTAGTGAAGTGGGTGCACTGTCAAACTAGTCAAACTAGAAATGAACCTAAGTGATCAAACTCGTCATACAAGTCGCACTGTAACGAGTTTGACAAGTTTGACATGTCTGATAATGAGTGTTAAATTTATTTTTGCAGGTACCTTTTGTATATGATTTTAAGGACATTCATATGGCTCCCAAGATCACAACGAAATGCTATCCATATCAGACCATTTGATCTTTTAAAAAGGTCTTGACGGATGAAGAATTTACATATTTCAAAAAAGAATCACAGTTTTGCCATTTTTTGTCTTGAATGTAAAGATACATTGAAGATGGTTCTGCCATCAGGTCTCTTACATCGCGCACTAAAGTCAGAAGGATATGTGAAACATTTATGGTTTGTTCTGAATGGTGTGCCCATTAGATATTCGATCACCGAGCATGCGATTATCTCCGTCCTAAAATGTGAAAAGTATCCACAAGATTGAGCTAAATGCAAGGGAACTCAGTTTTGGATGAAAATGTTCGGACCTTCAAAGGTGACAATATCAGGAGCATTTAAGAAGTTGTATGATACTCCAACCACATATGTGGAGGATAGGAGAAGATTAACAATAATCGTATGTTAGGTAGAGTATTAGACCATGAAATAAAAAACAATGATGTGATTCCCAATGACGCAGTTGACATGGTCAATAATCTGGAATTCTGTGAAGGGTTTCTTTGGGAGAGATACACTTTCGAAAGAACACTACAAAAAAACCCCAAATTCCAACCGACAAATCCGTTGGAAATGGCCGAAAATCCGTTGGAATTCGACTTTTCCAACGGATTTCCAACGGATATATCCGTTGGAATTCTGTGGCAAATTCCAAACGGAATTCCAACGTCGTCATCCGTTGGAATATTTCAACGGATTTCCAACGGTTTTTCCGTGGTATATTTTCAACGGAATTCCAACGGATTTGTTCGTCGGAATATATCAACGGATATTCCAACGGATATTCGTGGCTACTTTCCGACGGGACCGTTAAAATATCCGTTAGAAATATTCCAACGGATTTACAATGGTATTTGCCACGAAAATCCGTTGGAATATCCGTTGGAAACGCCGTCGAAATGTTACAACGGTATTTACAACGGCAGTCCGTTGGAATTGGAAATTCATTCCAACGGATAATCGTTGGAAAACCCGTTGGAAAACACAAAAAAATAAATAAAAAAATAAAATAAATATTTAAAAATAAAATATTTATTTTATTTTTAAATATTTATTTTATTTTTTATTTATATTTATATATATTATATATTAATAAATATATATATAATAAACGGCGTATTGTGGAGTGGCCGATCACCCCGCAAAAGCTCAACGATTTGTTCGTTGTTGCCTCGTCGCCGCAAGCTGTTGCTCGAGTGTTTCGATCCACCGTTGTTGTTCGAGATCGCTCTGCATGCCAAGAGAAATTGCTGCACCGAAATCATCGAACAAATCTCGCTGCAATCCTCCTAATCCATAGATGCGACCTTTATTTGGAGAGACCGACTGAAAAATGAAGAAAATATTTAAAATTGAAATAAAGTATTAAAATATAATATTTAAAAATGAATTATTATAACTTTTACCTCCACATAGCAACGATCTTGGTCCGATGCAGAGAGACCGGATGAAGAACCCGCTGAATCGCCAACATTTTGCGAGAGTTGGATAAGTCTTTGAGCTACCGTGCTTACAACTCGTTCTGCACGGGGATCGACATATGTCCCATCGGACTTTTTGTGTGTCCGAGCGACCAACTCTACAATTGATGGCGTTCTCCCCATTTCTTTCTCCTATATATATATATTATTAACAGAATAAAAAATCTACAATTAAAAAATAAATTAAAAATTAAAGTTTAAATAAATACCATCTTTTTTTGCCTCTTCTTGAATGATTTAGCACCGGAGGTATGACGATGAGGCTCATCACCCTCGATTTTTTGGGCCAGACGACTTTGTTTCGCCTTGGAACTTTTGTTCTTGAAATGGTCTGAATTCCAATGCGTAAGAAGCTACTTGTACAAGTCATTTGTTGCCCACTCCGGTGGCAGTCCATGCAGCTGATGATGGCGTTTGGCATTGTTCATCATTTGTTTCAACCGCTGCATATCCAGCTGGTTGAACTCTTTGTAAACTTTATCGATGTACTTTTTTTTCCACCGAAAAGATTGCTTTAAAAAAAATTAGAGTTAGTGACTAATTTTTTTATTTAAATAAAATTTTAAAAATATAACTTACGATGAACGAATGCCACCAAGAACATTTGATGTAGTCCGGTACCACCGTCCAACAGTAGTAGAGTTAAGGAAAATTGGACGTTATTATTGCTGTAAAATTTTTCCTCAAATCTTTATCGTTAACCTCGAACCTAATAATAACAATTTATTAATATTAACTAATAATATAATTTAAAATAAGTATTGAAATAATTTAATTTAAAAATTACCATAACGCCCCGTCAAGTTCGGGATCGATTAGCGGGACCTCGCGAGTGTCGAAGGAATTTAAAATTTCCTCTACCTCCTCCAGAGTTATATCAATCTCTGGGAAAAGTGGGGGTGCGACCACCGGTTCCGGAAGACGAGAAGGTGGTGGTGGCGGCGGTGGCGGTACTCCAGAAGAACCCGCCAACAATCCTCCGGAACCAGAATATCGCCTACGAAACTGGAAAAAAATAATAGTTAGTTATTAATACAAAATAGAACATAAATAAATATTAACGAATTGAAAACATATTACCATTTTGCGTTTTTTTTTGGTCGAGTTATTTTTTTTTTTGCTCCGTTTTTTTTCTTCATTTGACAAATGGGTGATGACGAAGAATGGGGCGCTCGCCCTTATATAATCGAAAATTCCAACGGATTTCCAACGGGTATCCGTTGGAAATCTCTGGGCGCATTTAATGTTGTCTGATAAATTCCAACTCATGTCCGTTAGAATCTCTATTTCCAACGGGCATCCGTTGGAAAAATTCTGGAATGACGCGATGGACGCCAGATGCGTCGAACGGATTTAATGCTTCAGAATTTCCAACGGATGCCCGTTGGAAATAGAGATTCTAACGGGCATACGTTGGAATTTATCAATACGGATTCAATGTTTCAACCGTTACAACGGGCATCCGTTGGAAATTTCCAACGGATATTCGTTGTGATTCTGGTGTCGATTGGATTGTTGCTCTTCGATTCCAACGGATGCCCGTTGGAATTTAACATTTTTTTTTAAAAAAAATTTAAAAATCTCAAAAATACAAATAACTCGTCGTCTATGTCAGGAAATGCAAGTGTCTCGTCGTAATCATCATCTAGTCGGATGGGAAGAACCAGATCTTCGAGTTGCTCTTGCATTGGCTCATCGAGATCTTGTGTTGTCGACGACGAATCCACGATTAATCTTCGTGGGTTAATCTTCAAAACAGCCGACCATTGATCTTCCCGTCGCCGTTTCACCGATGTCGCAGAATGTTTCGGATATGGAATGAAGCATACCTGGTCTGCCTGATCTGAAAGTATAAAAGGGTTGTACTTTGCATATGAACGTTTCGGGTTTATGTCAATACCTCCCCATCGATTTTTCCGTGAGCCGCGTCCCGACGTTGTATCAAACCAATCACATCTGAATATGATTGTTTTCAACCCGACTAATCCTGGATATTGGAGTTGGAAAATCTTCCGAAGAACCCCAAAGAAATCAGGATCTTCCGATGACCCGCTTTTTATACAAATTCCGTAATTGAACGTGGATTTATGTTTTCCATGATCGTAAGTGTGAAACGTGTATCCTCGGGCGAACATTATCGGCCAACAAATGACTTTTCTTCCAGGTCCATGTGATATATCTCTGATCCATGCCGGAATTCTATCACAGTAAATGACTTTTCTTCCAGGTCCCTGTGATATATCTCTGATCCATGCCGGAATCTATCACTGCATGACCGAATCTACGTATAAAAATTAAATTAATCGATATGAGTAATACACAAATACATACATGTACATATATATATATATATAGCTAGAATACTTACGTAGTCTCGAAGCCAAGATGCATAATGGTGTTCCTTCATTCCTTCAAGTTCCTCCCCACTTAGATTAGGATATGTTGCCAAAACATCCTCGTCAAAAAGTCTTAAAAACATGTTGTTAGTAAATATGTAATAAATTAATTTCTAATCACATCCAAGATTAAAAAATGTGTACCTTTCGTATGGCTTAAGTTCTTCACAATTCAACAGTATATATGTGGCGATGTGATTGTACTCTTGTACAGTTAACCAATATTCTTCAGATTTGCCTCC